AACTCCCTGAAACCGTTTTCACCACGAAGGAGTAAGACCAAAAAGTCCAGCTTCACAGTGCACGCAACAGATGATCTTGTGGCAGCAAGTAAAAATAGATCCGACAATCTATTGTCATTCGGGCATCAGAGGAATCAAAATAGGAAATTTCCACACATCTCAAAATATTGGGATAGAGGGCGAGGCACGGGTTGCATGGGTTTACAAATTGAGTGATCAGGAAGGGCGAACTAGGGACTGATCACCAGGAAGGACAAAGGCGGGAAAATAAAATATAAGACCCTCCCCACCCCTCGAATAGGTCCTTCCACCCAAGAGAGGCCAACCCCTCAAAACCAGACCCTAACTCTAGTAGGGGACCAACTTTGTGCCTCTAAGGAATAAAGTCCTCTTCGAAGGTCAGTGTTACGGACCCCCTTAACTAAATAGCCACTTGGACACACAGCCAGTCACAGGTACAAGGTTGTTTTCATCGTGGATGAGGTTTTTAAACATAATTCACGTGTAAATGTGTCCCTTAGGTTTGTTAAATGGCATTAACTGTCACCCATGAGTAAGTAGATGATGAAAAGTCCACTGGATATCCTACTGCCGTACGGAAGGGTAATGCAGTTACAATAACCCTGAGAAAAGTAGCGAAGGTCAAAGATCAGCTATGTAGTCCATCCAGTTTAATACCAGGCAAATTTGTGAATTCCGCTATAGACCTTTCGTACCATTAGGAAGGCAGACTGAAAGCGGCTTTCGTTGAGAAGGAGTCTCCCATTGGGATGCTCTTTCTAGGTGAAACAAGTGCGTGTCTCTTTTGATGGCTAGACTCCCGCGAGGGAGATGGGCGAGGTGTCGTCGAGATTATCAGTGCCGACATTATTGTTGAACGTGGGGTGCTCTCCTTATCAAGCGGGTGACCCTCCCAGCCAAGACCAGTTAGACTGTTCCTCGCCAGTGGTCTTTGTCCGGCTGAACCACCTGGATGAGGTTTTTAAACATAATTCACGTGTAAATGTGTCCCTTAGGTTTGTTAAATGGCATTAACTGTCACCCATGAGTAAGTAGATGATGAAAAGTCCACTGGATATCCTACTGCCGTACGGAAGGGTAATGCAGTTACAATAACCCTGAGAAAAGTAGCGAAGGTCAAAGATCAGCTATGTAGTCCATCCAGTTTAATACCAGGCAAATTTGTGAATTCCGCTATAGACCTTTCGTACCATTAGGAAGGCAGACTGAAAGCGGCTTTCGTTGAGAAGGAGTCTCCCATTGGGATGCTCTTTCTAGGTGAAACAAGTGCGTGTCTCTTTTGATGGCTAGACTCCCGCGAGGGAGATGGGCGAGGTGTCGTCAAGATTATCAGTGCCGACATTATTATTGAACGTGGGGTGCTCTCCTTATCAAGCGGGGTGACCGTCCCAGCCAAGACCAGTGAGACTGTTCCTCGCCAGTGGTCTTTGTTCGGCTGAACCACCATGATAAACTCAAGAAGGCTCAGTTTCTGTGAGCTCATTAATGCCAATGGACCAGTCAATCTTTGCCAAATCCCGGCATGGCCATTGGATATGCACTGCTGATGAGCTCTAATAAGAGCGAAGCTCGAGCCCAGTGCTTCCCTTCGGTGTGGACTCACCGGAATAATTACGCCAGAACACGAGGACGACCGTTCAAACGAAAGTGGTGTGACCGTGAACAATCTTTGACATCGTGTGAAAAAGTGCACCTTGTTGGTAAGAACGTAGACACCTCGGTAGCCTGCATGGGAACCATAGAGTGAAACATGTTGGACCAGCTCTAGAGTGTACCAAATGCGAACTGATGTAAAAGCATAGCGACAGGCTATCAGTGATCCTTTAAGATCAAACCATGTGACCAAGGAGACGTAAATCGCGAATGCCTTTGTCATACAGACTGCCACATACCATTTTAATTAGTCATCTTGAGTCATCCTGCATCTAGATGTGACACCTCTCTCACTGCCGTCATTTTTTTTTACAGTGTATCTGAAGTTCGCGTAGGGACCGCTGTAACTTTGTGGATTACCTCGCAGGTAGAAAATGTAGCCGTCAACTTCATTCACAACGATTATTCACATTCATACCCACAGCCACTGTTTTTCCTCTCGCTACCAGTTCTTCTACAGTCCGATGGACTGCTGTTGTTCTCTTTGATTCCTTAAGAATGCAAAGTGGCTAGAGATGGCTCGCTGGTTAAGGCGCAAACTTACTAACTGGACTGATTCAAACCCAACTTTGACAATTCGACTGCTCCTGTCCAGGGTTCAGCAACCCGGTAGCGTCTCAGTTCACGTGCTTCCTTCGAGTGCCATGACAACTAGGTAGCGAAAGACTGTTTTTTGCCGAAAGTTGGAACAAAACCTTTCTTGCGAACTGTTCTCATTCCCCTGTAGGGCAAAACATACACATTTGACGTTGTCCTGCAACCCAATGCAACGCAACTGGAGGTCTACGAGAAGAGTGTCAAATCCATTGTACTTTCCGTGTTGAACGGATATAATGGAACGATTTTTGCCTACGGACAAACGGCTTCGGGGAAAACCTATACCATGGAGGTTTGTCTGTCTACTGTTAGTTGTATTAATCGACAAAGTAGAGCGTTACTGTCAAACGATTGAGACATTTGACAGCTGGCCGCACTCAAACGGGCCATTTTATAGGTCCAACTATTGTCCAATTGTACTTGAAAGATCCAACCAGAAGTCAGCTTTCCAAACTTTTCGAATCGTATTGGCTTCTTATGCCTGATATCATCAAGCCTAACAGAGAACCTACGGAACGAATAACTACCTCGGATACAGTCTTAGGGCTAACTTAGTACTCAACTGGACTTATTGGATGAAATGATTACGTATCAATGCTGTCAGGCAAAAAATAGCAGAGATTACTAGTTTGGGAAAGTGGAGTCTGTTTCGATAGTTATAATGAGACATCTTGCTTACCTATAAGTTTCATCCATAATTGATGATAACACTGAAAGATTTATTCAGTTCGGTAAGTTCAAAGTAGATTTTGTCTTCTAAGTGACACCGAAAAGCCGGGAAGCACAGCTGTTTCATTCTTGTTTGAAATCATCAGCAGTGCGCATTTTAGGAATATCAATAACGACTTGAACCCGCGACTTTTTGACTAAACTGTCTGGCTGTGAGCGCCTGAGCAGCGTTTTGGTTAGCTCGCATTTAGACGAGATTGAGCACCACTCATTCTCCAGTCACGGAATTTCAAGCACGTGATCATGTGCTGATTGGCTCATCCACTGCCAGATCGTAGTCGAATGGTTTAGTCTTCAACCATTAGGCGGGGAGTTGCTGGTTCGAATTCTCGTGGAGATCGCTGGGATGTGCACTGCTGATGATTCTCGAAGAAGATGAAACGTCTGTAAAATAGTTATTGACTTTTCGGCACAGATTGACTTCCCTTATCCGATGGAATCCCCACTGAACTTGCAAATTCTTCTCCCGTTATCATCAATCCCAGTCAGTCTCTGTGAATAGAAACCTTAGTTCGGCCTTCTTAATGGCTATGATGTAACGCACTTGTTGAGTAGTCTTCATTCTGAGGGCACGAATTGGAGTTATAAAGGTCGGATCTAGACGAAAGGCGATTTCCCACTTGTTGACACGGCGGTTTCATGAATACTGTTAGTGTTGCGCGATAAATAACTGACCTTGGGCGAGTTGTAGTCTATTGGAGTTAGCCTGTCCATTAATCACGTGACTATGGTCAAAACGATCGAAACTGCGCCTTGGGAACTTTCCAAACAGGGCCGGATGAAGGATGCTGAACACAAAGGAATCATACCAAGGATCATCGAGGATATTTTTCTGCACATTGAAAAGATGGACGAAAATTTGGAATTTCTCATCAAGGTTTGTTTTTTTTTTGTGCGCGTCACTTTCAAACTACCTTCCCTCAGGTTTCTTATTTCGAGCTATATATGGAGAAGATCAAAGATTTGCTTGATAGTATGTTCTTCTCTAGTTTTTCCACTGATTTCAGTGTGCGTTTNAATTTCCGTGTGTGTTTTAGTCTCAAAAACGAACCTTCCGATTCATGAAACAAAGGGTCGTGTAGCTTATGTGAAGGTAAGTTCACGGTTAGTTTTCCTGCTTTTGATCCTTTAAACAAAGGTCAATCAAAATGGCCTTCCACAGGTGAGGCATCATGGTACCCCAATGTGGGACTGGCACGTTCCTCAAGAGTTTGAGCATTATTCAGGGTTTGTCCGAGTGCAGCCGACCTCGAACAGATTGTTGTTTATCCAAATCTACCACGTGATCTGTTGATGTTCGAAAATCTTGCCCCAAGGTACCGGACCAAATAATGCCAGGTTCTCTGGACGACTGGTTTTCTTCCACTACCTCCCGACTTTGCTGGCCTGCAAGTGGTTTTCAATAGGAACTGGTCTTTGTCTCGTCTGTTGTAAATCGAGGCTAGGTGAATCTCTCGTTTGTGATGTTTCCAGGCATATGGCCGCCTCATGTTTCGGTCGCTACGATATTCGAGATAGTTTGCAAGCTTGGTGTCAAGTAGACCATAAGGCTGACGGAAACTCGGGGACTGCGCCTACCTGATGAGCCCCAAGATAGGCGAAACCGGTCGTGGGTTGTCGAGGAGTTTTCAGCAACCTTATGAGTAGTGCATTACAAAGATATACATCTATCACGATTTCTCGAATATCATAGCAACTGAAACATGAGGCAGCATGGTGCAGTATCTCCAGTTGCCTGGAAACATCATAAACGAGTGATTCAGCTGGGTTCCAGGTGAGTCTCTCGAAAAACCAAATTTGTTAGCAGATGAGTGTGGTTCGGTAAAGGCTAGGCAAACCCAGGAAAGACCTTGTTTAATGCATCCAGGTTAATAGATTTGCGCTCCATCAAAATTGGCAACTTTTACAGCGCTGGTTTTGGGACCCGATGCAGAGGGCTGAGCGGCGATGCAAGATAGCGGGTGGCCACGAATTCAACACTAGGAATGGGGCAAGTGATGTATTGTACTTCGGTCGTTGGCTTGTTCGCTGAGCTAGGCAGTTCGATTGCAAGCTTTTCATCACCAATCGAGGCGACATAATCAGTGTGTTATTGGGAAGCTTAGTGGTGCGTAGCGGTGGGTTAGTTGTTGTGCCACTCGGACGTACCATTTTTTATGACCTTAGCTATAAATTCCCACTCACTATTCTATTCACTGCGGATGTTTGCTAGATGTACACAGTAAAGATGACACTCCAGTTTGGAGGCCTTTCTGTCTAATCTTCCAGCTTGTGACATAGGTGGGTCGGCATCTGCTGATGAGGTCATCGTTCGACGTGTCAGGCAAACCAGTCGTCTCGCTCAAGCATGAACGCATTCATCTGTTTATTCAGCGTGTGCTGGTGAAATCGCGGCAACGCGCTTGCATTTTACGTCATATCTGGAGTTTACCTCCAGGTGGGGACCAGGGGTGGGAACCCTGTGCATTTTGTCACGCCCCCCTCGTTATTTCGCTAGCATGTAGGCTCCAGCATTACGTTTCTGTAGCTGTTGCCGCTGTTGTAGACGCCACTGCTCCACTCTTGTTCATCACCAGGATGTAACCGGATAATCCATCCACTAAAGGGTCTGCGCAGAACAGCATCTCTGTTGAGGAACTGAACCTACGACATTCGCTTGTAAATCGTCCAGACCATGATTATTTATAGATATATGGTTATTTGTCCTTGTAGGGTGTGACGGAACGCTTTGTATCTTGTGCGGACGACTTGTTAGATGCGCTGGACGAGGGGAAAATGAATCGTCATGTATCAGTTACAAGTAAGTCCACACCCAGCTAGAAAACAATTAATCCTTCAGAATGTTAAAATGACGTGCTACTGACAAACTGTAAGTAGTCTGTTCAGGAAGAAAAAGACTCACTAGTTGAACAGATCTTCCGCCTTCCGTCAGCATCCCAAAAAGAGGACCACCATAGACCTTTGCATTAACCTTATTACTTTGCTTGTGGAATAGCCATTTCGGTCAGTTGGATAATCTTTAAAATCTCACTATATTTCCTTCTTCCAGAGTTCAGTTTGGTTCAGTTTGATTTATCGTCTAAGGTGTCAATGCCTCCTCGGAGAGAAGGAGGCTTTCACAGCAGCGTTTTTGCGGAATCTTCTATAGTCCGTCATTTCATATTTTTCTTTAGTATGCTATCTTCTAAACGGGTTCACGAGGTTGTATTCGGCCCTCTGATTTGCCCTTGATCTTCTAAACTTTTACAGTGGAGACATCTTAAGCGGATGGAAATTTGGCCTCCAAATCTTTTGAACAAACCGGAAAGATGTCATGGACCTAGCGAAATACACTCGTTTGCAAACTAATTTGGTTCTTTCGAGAGACTCACCTGGAACCCAGCTGAATCTCTCGTTTATGATATTCTCAGGCAACTGAATGTGCTGCACCAGGCCGCCTCA